AAGGGAAGGGAAGGGAAGGGAAGGGAAGGGAAGGGAAGGGAAGGGAAGCAAGCGCTTTTACTTGATGATCCCTCAGTATCCCTCGGTCAGGTTTTGGGCCACCCAGCCTTTTGTCTTCGCTTTCACTCACCCTCTTCTACTCCTGGCACTCAAATTCCACCCCAGTCCACTTCTGCCTGAGGAGGATAGCCACTGTGCTGCCTGTAACGATGGCTTCTACCTGCACAGCCGCGACTGCGAGGCTGTGTTGGACCTGGTGGGGTTACAGGTCTTTGCCGTTGAGCCACAAATTATGTTCGAGCCAAGAGTTCTAAACAGGGGTTGTAGTGGGGGCAATCCAGGGCTTCAGCGTCACTCGTCCATACCATTCTTCAGAATGAGGACAAAAAACACGGTGGTTTTGGCCCTTTTGGATAATTTCCCTGCAAGCTGTCCTGAGAAGGTCCTTCCCTCCCTCGTCTCGGACTCCCTCGTCTCGCCGGTTTCGCGTCGGCGCCGTGGTGGGCCGGCCAAGCTTGGTGAGGCGTTCACCTGCAAGGAGGGAAAGAACCGGCTTTGCGAGAGCTGCCGACCGCAAGACGAGCGGAAGGCGCGGTGAAGCGGTGACGCATGGTACGCGCGTTTCGCGTGGTGTTGGGCGGGTGGGGCAAGTGGCTAAGCGAACGAAGTCGGTGAAGGACGGGGCGACTGGGCATAGAGGGGAGGAGGGGGAAGTGGTTGATGGGTTCACGAAGGAGACATTTTGAAAGAGCTGTGATGTTCGATTCTCTGTTCTAAAGGACTCCGGGAGATCTGGCAGATCAGCGGTCTACAAAGCGGTGCTTAGGATGGCTAGCGGCTAGCGGACCTTGACTTGTGTCCAAGCCCTGGTCCAAAATCATCACTCCTGGTTATCCTTTCTGGGCCATCCCATCCACTTCCATGATTCTTTGGTGTACATTGACCCTGCATCGATGTGGGACATCAAAGACGATTGGTGTCCGCCGCAAATTTGGAAGCGGAACATGATGCCCGACCGAGCGCGGGACGGCGCCCGGTCGACCCGAGCGACCAGCATCTTTGGTTTGTGCTCGACCACCATCGAGACCCGTGCAGCCTCCATCCATTCCACCCGGCGCCGGTGGTGGTGGCCGTGCCACGGTGCCGGGGCGAAACATCGCGCGCGCAAGCCACTCGTCGTCTCGGTGACGACCAGATGGATGGCCACTGCTCCAGCTGCAACTTCGGCTACGTCCTGAAAGGCGATGTTTGCCAGGCGAGCTCGGAGAGGGGGATGGGACGAGGGTTCAGGTCAGGCTTCGTTTTTTTGAGAGTCGGAGGTGGGGGACTGAGATAGTTGACTTCTGAAAAAGGTACTACCATCCACTTTGCTCAGCCGTGATTCTGGGAGAATAGGAATGTTGCAGAATGCTGCAGATGCTTTTGTTGTTCCATTCATTTGACTTTCTCATACTTTCTCCGAATCCTTGTTTGCTACTTCTTTGCTACTGACAGAGCTCCGCTTCCACCTTTCCAGGTTGCCCTCGGTGTTCCGGGTGGAAAAGGGGGTCTGTTCGGGCCGCCAAGAAAAACCCACCGAAGGTGCAGCTCCTTAGCGAAATAGTGATGCAAGTGACCCTATTCAAGTTGAGGTCTGTGAGGGGTTTTGACCACATGTTGGGACATCCCTCTTGGTGGGTCCAAGTTCGCAGATGGGAAGAGGGCCGTAAAAAGGTGGATTCAGTGTTGGTTCATGCTTGCTTAAGTGTTTTCAATTGTTGTTTGTAGTTTTTTTTTTTTTTTTTAACACTTTCTGTGTGTCTCGGTGTGCCGGCCAGTCCGTGATGGTTGGTTCAGTCATCGCGATCCACAACGCTGAATGGATGCTTGGCCACCGAACGATTGAACATGATTGAACCCTTGAACCTCAAACGTTCTCTATCGTTCAATTGATAGCTCCAACACAGCTGCCCTACCACACTTCTTTTTTGACAGCGAACTGTTCAAAGGTCCTTTTGGAGCACAGACGCCAGCGACTTGCATTACACAGAGCATTGGCTCGACGGTTCCTGCCCAGCTCGGCCGAGCGGAACCGAGGAATCGCTATGTGAAGATGACCTCCAACGACCTCACCTTGAGCCCGAAGAAGGGAGCGGCCACATGGCACCGGCGAGGTCGTTGGGGGCGGTTCCACATGACCTCCAAAGCTCCGTTTGGGTGGGTTTGGGGGGCGGGGCTTGTGAGGTTGTTCGAGCTCATTCCAAGGTTAGGTGGTTGGGCTTGGGGTTGAGGAATTCAGTCAACTGAATTCGTGGGCCTTTGGTGAAAGCGAGGGATGGGACCATGATGGCACCCCTTGTTCTTCTGCCCCGAAGGGCGAGCGATCTTCCCCTTTCGATCCTGTTGGTCACCGAGGGCGCACGCACGATAGCTGTCATGCTTTGGGTTTGCACTCTAGCCAGGCCTTGGGGAAAGATCGAAAGCCAGCCAGGGGGTATCCTGGCTTTGGGTTCTGGACTCCTTGGCACTCCTGGCTTTGGACACCTGAGGACGAGTTCCCTGCTGGCTGGTCGGCTGAGAAGTTCTTGGTCATCGATGCCGGCAAGGGGCGTGTGGCGCTGAAGAACACACGGCAGAACAAGGTCATCAGCAGCTTGGGCAAATCGCTTTGGCAGCTTTCTTTTCACGGAATCATTTTTGAATAATCGCTAGCCGCTAGACCTACGCCCAAACACGGACTTTTCCGCATGTGCCCAAGAGACAGAAGTCCTCTTTTTTTTTTGCGGACAAAGCCCTATCTTTTCTGAAACTCGTTGTTGGGCGCCGTTGATGCGTTGATTGGTCGCGTCATTGACGATGGAGGGTCTCGAGGTCTCCCCCTGCCCCGTCTCTGAGGCATCCAATCCACGGGCGACTTGGTCCCCGCGGATCTGCCAGTGTGGCTCGGACGGATGTTTCCTTTGGCTGGGCAACATCGAACGGACGCAGCGGTAGGGGGGTCGCTTGGTTGGAGGACACTTCAGGGTCGCTGGTGGCCATTCCGTCCTGACGTTTCTCGAGGCCGCAGTGTGTGGATGGGAAGTTCGGCCTGAACTTCTGCTGCTTGGACACAGAAAGAGGTCCGAACGGTGGCTGACGGCCACACAAGAAAGATCAAAACAGTTTTTTGGATTCGTAGACACATGCTTGATGAGCTTGAGATGTATCTAGAAAAAGGGGGGCGGCAGCACCTCAAAAAATATAGAAGGTCAGTACTGCAGAGTTCTTTTGCCAATGAGAAACGGCTGTCCACGAGGCATCCAAAGCTTCGGAGGAATTTCTTGGTCCAGTTTTTGTACCCAAGGCTCCCAGTGGTGCAACCACGAGGGCTTCTGGGGATGTGGCATCTCCAAGTTGATAGGCGGGGAGAGGAGGGCGAGAGGGGAGAGAGGAGAGGTGGCGCTTTGCTCCGGGAGCGCCGAAGCCCAGTTCTCCCGCCGTCCAGACTGTTTCAGATATGGGTGAAGGGTGGTGAATGGCATCGAAAGGATATGAAACTGCTCTGAAACATCTAGGATAATATGATATATTTTAATATGTTTCTGCAAGAGCTACTGACCGTAACCGGACTCTAAGCCTCAACAGTTGACCAGCCGTTGAAGCGGACGATTTGTGAACCATGAGGGACATCAGGGATGATGGAGCAAACATTTCCGTCTCACCTGCCTTTTGCTGCACCTGGAGGAAAGGATGGCCGAAACACCGACAACCAGGATTGGCCGGGTGGAACATGGCGGAACCTAGGAGCAGATGGCAGCAGCAGGGAGATGTTGAGTTGCTTTGTTGTCATGTCTTTAACTTTTGTAAGGGCTGGTTTCCATCTTCACAATAGGCTGAGCCGTGATCTAAAGAGTACTGAAACCCTGAAGGACTACACTTGCGACTGCTCTGGCTGCTCTGGCTGCGCCGAGAAGCTTGGCCATCACAAGTTCTGCGACACTTCCTCAAAGACATCCTTCAAGACTGGGGCTGAACGGGCTGAACTAGGATTCTTATCACTGCTGGAACAGAGGCCTTCGCACTCCTAATTTGAGGTCTCCCTCCACAGTTGCGTATACAGTAGGGTTCCCAAGGAGGTGTCCATAGTGAAAGTGCAGGAAGCCCGCTATATGTACAGAATGTTTATATATTCTTGCCAGTCCAAAGTGTTTGGGCATTTCATAGCATTTCTGATATGCTCCAACAGCATGTGGTTGATGGAAGAACCCGCATCGCGAAACAAGCTATCCTTCTGTTTGGCCTTGAAGTGGTTTGATTCCCGTTTCAATCTGAACACACTCAGAATACTGACAACTGACAACGCGCTTGGTCGTCTCATTCTCGAGGTCAAGGACCAGCATGCCAACCATTCTTTGAACTTTATCCATCAGCTAACTCTGTCTGGTGGATGGCTCTGTGTCATGATGGTCTCTTCAAAACTCTGGAACCTGATAAATGTTGATGTTCCGTTCAAGCACCGGGACAATCTCCACACTGGTGCTCCTCCGAACGCGTGCTTAAGGAGCCCAAGCAGCTGGGTGCCAGTGTGGTGGGGCTGCCCAGCCAGCCGTAGCGCACTTTTATGATCTTCTTTATTTGTGCGCTTTGCTTCTTTTTCTCCAATTGATCCGGCAGAAGCAATGTGGGTACCCATGTGGTGCACTGCAGATAGAGGATTTCTGAATTTCCTTTCTACTTGGCTTTCTCCTTCTCTATCTTTTCCTTGCTCTTTTCAGAGAGCGTGCTCTCTCTGTTACCCCCATTAATTAGCTTGGAGCCCTGAAGGAAGGATTCGCGCCTCCTCAGTGAGAGGAGGGCCATCGATGGGAGAAATCGAGACCTCCAGTGACATGACCTGGACTTACTAGGCAATTCTCGCTAAGCTCTTTCTCTGAGCTGCTGCGCAGTTCACCTTGGACCCTTGCAGCCCTTGGACTCAGGACGGGCAAGAATGGTGAGGTGGCTTTCCACTCACCTTCTGGCAGTGCTTGGATGATGATGACGGAGGACAACATGGCCACTTGTTATGCATGTTGGAGCCAACATCAGATGTGTGCTTTCCGGCTTGGGTCTTGGTATTTGCTCTTCCAGCCCCCCCGGTCCCTGGAAATCCCATGAGACGATGGCCTCACCTGCTGGGTCTCGTCTCCGCGTTGCTCAGTGGGGCAAAACCAGCTACACCGCAGAGCAGATCATGGGCTCTTGGACTCGCTACAAGGTCGTGCAGGCGCGAGTTCGCTCACTCCGGGTGGATTTCGGGTGGATGTGGATGTTGCCAAAAATTGCTCTGGAGGTTGGGAAGAGGATGGGACTTCCTGAAACAACATGATAAACATGAATAGGTGGTGTTTCTCTTTCCAAGCAATCTAAAATCTAAACCTTAAGTTTTCAGAAGGAGGATACTTGTCAGTAGATTGCTTGACTATGCTTGATTTGTGTGCTGCAACTCCATTACACGGAGGTATTTGTTGTTAATTGTGATTGTTATAGCGACCCCCCAATCCTTGCAGTGGGGAAGCAGGGTTGACCAAGTATTTATATTTATAGTTACATGGAATCAGCATGTATAATCCTTTAGGAGATCGGTCTGTTTGCTGGCAATAGAAGTGACAAGAATTTGGCAGCAGGACTGGACTGGATAGCATTGAACAAATCAACATCGATCTCGTAGCTGCTGGACTCAGTAGATAGGTTACAAGTCTTAGCCTTTCTGGACCAAAAGAAACAGAAGAACCGCCTCGCTTGTCGCCAGCCACATCCACTCTTGGCCGATGGCTCGATCATCGCTTTGCACTGCGGCAAGCACAAGAAGTTCTTGAGCACCTTGGAATGCCAAAGTGATTTTTCAATATTTTCCGTTGTTCCGCTTCAACCTGAGTTGGACATCGTTCCTGGCCGGCTCACATTTACAAGGAGACTCGGAGACCTTTCTTCAAGAGATGTTGGATGATCTTGGCCTTCTATCGGCGACCCTCCCACAAAAGCCTTTCGGCTTCTGCCGCCCCTTCGGATTCTGCGGGGGGGAAAGACCCATCCTGCTAGCGCGCTTTGTTCGCCCGGGGGTGGACACCGAGGCATGGGCAACAGCGACATGAGCTCCACCAAGGTCAAGGCCGTCCCGTGCGATCGGAGGGCGCGAACACGGCGAACAGGGCGATCGGAGGGGTCAATGTGATCCCGCAGATCGAGTTCGGGGTGATCGGGTGAGTTGGACATGGGGACGAGATCCCGAAGTTGGATTGACGACCAAAGTCGTGGGCGGTGCATTTCACGAGTCGTGACGAAGTGGCAGGCACCTGATCTAAGGGATGTTCGTTCACCACGAAAGACCGGGAACATGGGGTCTGTTTCACAAAGAGGGAACACTCCTGGCCCAAGGGCTTACACCTTTGCAGTTGAGTAGAGTACGACATTGTCAGCTGTGCGTCCATCATGCATCCATCAGCGACCAACTTCAGAGGGTTGCCATGCATGCTTTAACTTGTGGGTAGAATCTGAGTAGAATGTGTGTCTTTGCGGAAATAGGCCCACAATGATGGCCCACTAGATTGGAGAAACCTGCTCTTGGTCTGGCAAGGAAAGAGAATTATGAAAGATGACGCAAGTACGTCGTCTCATTCCAGTACCCAACTGCAGCAGGGCACCACGATAGCGACACAAAGTGGTCAGCCACTTGAAGAATTGTCTTCTCGTCGGAAGAGTGCCTTCATGATATGTGTTTCTTGCCCAAACAGTCATGCCACATCCTACTCGAACAGTCTTTCCAGGCAAGTTCCCCCCTCTCCACCTCAATCCTTTTGAAGATGGGCCTTCTCGTTCACCTCGCGTGCGACTCGCGTGCGAGGGCAAGAACAACTTCCCCGACAGTTGGCTCTCAGCCAAGTTCCGCGTGGTGGACGCGGGCTTCGGACAGATCGCCCTGCACCGGCCCCGGGCGGCCGAACGGACCGGACGGCCGAACAACGCCGAATCGCAAAACCAGCGAGGAGAGACTCCCTGAGAAGAGTCTCTGGAAGTGGAACAACACCTCTTGTTTGGTCTATGAATAGTCTCAAATGATCCTTTGTTTGGTATATGGATGTATATAGTTTATGAGACATCCTTTCATGGACGGAAGTGAAGATTCTAGGATCATCCTTTCAGGAGCATTGAAGGCACCGCTTTCCATTTCACGTTATGATTCTTTGCAGGGAGTGGAGATGATTCGACGCCACACCCGTTTCCAGCCAAGCGACATGACTCGACCGGAGTCCGGCTTTGAACGCACTCCGGAAGTGGGTTCCACTTCATGAAGCGGAAGGAAGGAGGGGGGGTTCCACTTCCACACACATCTGGAGGTGGAGACAAGTGGGTTTTCTTTGGAATTCATGCCTGCGGTGACGGCGTCAAGGATCTTTGAGGTGCTGCGGTGACACTTTGGATGTTCTCATATGTTCTCCTTTCTGACGGCTTTTGATGGTCCCTGGTATCGAGGGTTTCGCTGGGACCTTGGGATCAGGATGGACCAGGGGCTTCCAATTTGCTTGTTCTTCTCTACGTGGTCAGTGGCTCCAGTACACACATGACATCAGTACATCCAGCCATTTTCAAGAGGCCACCTGATTCACGGGTGACCTGAGTCCTTGCCTGGCAGAAGAAGTCACTGTGAGGTACAGCGACAAGCATCAACGCTTCATCCGGCTTCATGGCAAAGACTTGTAGCTTGGGAGCATGATGAGCCCGGCAACGCCACGGATGTCAAACTTTGCGAAGGTCAAGGTGTTTCATGGTGTTTTGCACAAGGCAAAACATGCAACACATTCCAATGATCTATGTTCTCCCTGGAATGTTTATATTGTGTCTGAGTCTATGTCGCCCGCACATGACTTTGCCTCCGCGATCAAGGCATTTCAACCTGATTGTTCCAAGGAAGCGCAGCTCCAAGCAGGCAGACAAGAAGCTCCCGGGTCACTGGGCGTGGAGATGGGTTGGGGTTCGGATTCATCCCAGACACTGAGAAACAGTGAACATCACTCCTGCTGTTCCACTGCTACCTCCGGCATTTGTTTCCAAAGTGTTGTTTTGATTCGAACACCCCCAGACTCACCTCTCGCACGCCCCCAAACACCTCAAACGCCGCCTGCATTCTGCGCGAAGCTCTTCCAGGTGATTGGGCGGACGAGCGCTTCACGGTGGTCTACGCCGACGGAAAGCTGGCCTTCCACAACCCCACCTTCAATCGCTCCTCGTTGAATGGACCGCTCCGACCCGAGCACTGAAACACAGTCCGGGAGGAGTGGGCCCCTGGCGAGCCCATAGAGTCTACTTCCATGTTTCTGTTGGGAGGTAGCGCATAAATTTACTTGGCCAGGGCCAGATGGGTGGATGCTGATGGTGTATCCGCAACTGGCCTCTGCCTTTGCCTGCAAAAGTCTGGAACATGTCAGTGCGTGCACGCTTGCGACCAGAGGGAACGGCTCCGGATCGTCCCTCACCAACCAATCGTGCCCCCAATTTTCTTGCACCCCCTCTCATGTTCTTACGAGACGCCCCTTTTTTCTCAGACATCGCTCGTACCAGACCAGTGGCCTTTTGGAGGCTTCCTGCGGATGAACAAGAACGGGGCCGACACCAGCTCTGTGAGGAATGCAGAAGACCTCCCAGACGGCTGGAGCTGGGAACGCTTCGAGCTGGTCAACGCGGGGGAGCCCAGATATTTGGGGCCATTGGAAGAGCAAACATCAACATCTGCAGGACACGTGTTGGAGTGAGAGCTGACAGCTGGAAGGACACGTGTTGGAGTGAGAGCTGGCCTTTTGAAAAGGGTCGTTGGGCTCAGGGAGTTGTTGGGCAAATCTGATGGGACAAGCTTTGTCAAATCTCGTGACTTCGTGTGGAGTGGAGCATCCGGAAGAGGTGTTGAGAGCAGAACTCCGCTTCGTGGGAGGTCGGAAGCGTAACTAGGCTGCTGGCGTCTTGAAGAATTCCATCTAAAGGTCAATGTCAAGTGCTCCCCGGGTGTGGGCCAGCAGGAAGACACTTTTTGTTCAGATGGATTGGGTACTTGTTTTGAAGTTTTGGAAAGACCAGCTGCTTGTCTGACTCTTCATCTCATGAGATCTCATGGTGCGAGGCCAAGTTCACCTGTGCCACGGGTGACGGCTCGTCGTGCAAGACCTGTAAGAATCCCAATGACCGCACTGCCTCTTGTCGGAGAGAACTTTTTGCAGGGCCCAGATTTACACTCTGGAAGATTATTATCAATCAATATGAATGGTTGGTTGGGTAGGGACATATTGAGATGTGAAACATATAGTGGGGATCCTCAATCTTGTATGCCATTTTGGCTCAAGATTGGGGGCTCCCTAATTTCCTTTTGCCATGGCCACCGTCTAGCGTTTGCCCTGGGGGTGGCAGGAAGGAATTGGGGGGTGCGGGGGGGGCGCCCTGTCTGCGACAGGGGCCCTTTGCCGTCCCGTGGCGCATGGAGGCGCCTAAGCGGTCGCGGCCGGAGTCTGAGGGTTTGGAACCCAAACGACGGCCCCGCAATACTACACGGCCCCGAAGTCCATCAAGGCCTCCTACGCGGTCTAGCAACCCGTCCACGATCCACCTCCCAGCGTTGCGACCTGATCAGCCCATGGAGGGCCTGCTGCAGGACCTTCTGGTCGATAGGCCGACAGCCCTCGTCAACCACCTCGTGGACCTGGGTGTCCAGACGTGTGAAGATGTTCAGGGCCTTTGGCAGTCCGGGGGGGCATTGCTGGACGAGTTCGAACGCCACCACGGCACAGTGGCTGCGGAGGAGGGCTTTACTATAGTCTCCTTCTGGACGTTGGCCTCCCAACGTGCTCAGGCCTCCCAGCGCCAGAAGTTGAAGGAGACTTGCATTCACCGCCAATCGGCTATCTCCACATCCGCACCTTCTCGGCCGGAAGCTTCGCCTCCGCCAGTGGCTAGGCCTGTGCGCCGGCTTCTGGAGATCGGCGAGGTCCGGGAACCTCCCATCCTCGTGAACCTTGCGGCCAAGGACCCATACGTCAAGGAGCAAGCGGCGAAGGTGGCCAAGACGCAGACCCTCTTCGAGTTGCTCGTGCAGGACTTTCTCAACCTTGAGGAGTTAGGAGTGTCCCGGAGCCAGCTTCGTGATGCCACGCGTATGCAGCTCCTCAAGGAGTCAGTCATGCCAGCCGCGGACCGGCTCTCTGTGCACCGCTTGGGCGCTCTGGTGAGCACCTTGCGGCGGTGGCGAGACTTTGCCACTCGCCTTGGGTTCGACGTGCAGCAACCCTCTCCCTTACAGTTGAACACCTTCCTCAAGGAGGTCGCCAGGGGTGGCCCGACAGCAGCTTCGTCTATGTTTCATGCCCTCAACTGGTTTCGGTCTCAGTTTGGGATCCCGTTCCCCCTGGACCACTGGTTGGTGCGGAGCTACAAGCTGCTTCCAGTTGGCCACACCTCACAACAAAAGCTGGAATTACAACCCTGGGAGTTCGTGCTGTGGGCCGCTGTGTCCTGTATCCGCTTCGAACACATACAAAGGTCCAAGTTCGATCGGTGCGAGGCCAACGCCCTCTTCTTCACATGCTCCCAAGGCAAGGCCCGGCGCCAGGGTGCACGGCCTGCCTTTCAATGGGCCATGCCGGAGATCCCCTGGCCTGGCTTCAGCTTGGTCAAGATCATCCAGGATTTTGTCACCATGGAGCTCCTGCCGGGTGGTACTTACCTTTGGCCGGCCCTACAGTTGGACCCCCTTGACCTGTGGCAGGTCACCGACCACACGCCCTGGAAGCTGGACCGCAAGTTATCCCGTGGACGGTTCCTTGAGTTGCTGCGAGGGGCCCTCCTTGATCTGGGCACAGCCTCCGACCAGGCCCAGACGGCGGGATTCAACCGTCTGAGACGGTTCCTCCCCACTTTGGGCAATGTGTTCCGGTTGTCCCCGCAGGACCAGCAGGTGGTGGGCAATTGGGTGGAGATCCCTACTGGTGGTGGGCCCATTCCCAATCAGAAATCTCGGGCCACATGGACCATGGGAATCCATTACAGCGGGCAACGCGCCCTTCACTCAGCTCAGGTGAAGAAGGCGCTTTTGAAGCGTTTCATCCGGCTTTACAACGCCAAGAAGGCGGAGTTGGCCTTGACTGATGATGGTCTCCACCCTCGTGACTGTTGGACATGGGCGGAGGTGGCAGCCCAAAATGAGCAGCTCGGTGACCTTGGGACTGAGCTCCCAGCACCACCACCTGTGGAGAGCTCCCCTGACCTTCCGGAGGATGCCTCCACGGCCCGCGGGTCAGCCGATGTGCGGGAGCTGCCGGTGCACGTGGATACTGGGCCCGAGCCTGAGCCAGAAGCCCCCGACAATGAATCAGCTTCGGACACATCCTCTACGTCTTCAGGCTCTGCCTCCGACGTGTCCAATGAGGCTACAGATCTGGAGGGGGCCCTGTCGAATGATGACGTGGCTGTGTCCACGCACTGGTTGGTGCAGGGCACCAAGGTGCACATCATCCGCGGCGAGACGGATGGGCGGTTGCTCCCTTGGTGCAGAGATGCCCCTTTCTCACAGGACCCTCGGTCTACTGGAGAGGGTTTCTCCACCGTGTCCCGCCAGCGTTTTTGCCAGCGATGCTTGGCTCGCATGCCCAGGGGGTTGTACCGGGCATTGTCGAGGCACTGCGGGTGGCTGAACTGACACCTCTCCGCTCGAAGTATAAAAAGATACAAGCCCTGCACAGTGCGTTGGTTTTGTCGTTCGACCCCCCTAAATCTCTTGTTTGTTTGCCCGGCCGCGCTCGTGTTTCGTCGGTTACTCCGGGTGGTCAGCTCGGTACCCTGGGACCGTGGCCGGTGCGGAGTCCGGAGTCGGGTTCCCTCTCGCATCCCGCTTGTTGTGGGAGTGGGGTTTGATTGGAGTCAACCTGCCAACCTACACGGGGGGGGGAGGCATTTCGGTCTGGGTTCCCTGTGTTTGTGATGTGTCTTCGACACCGCAACCATGGCCCAATGCATCAGCCTCGGTGTTTTCGGACACCATCGCACAGTGCTTCTGAGTGGCCCAGTGCGCCCTGTGTGCCTACAGGCACCTGGTAGACCCTCAGCAACCTGCCATGAGCCACGGACATAAGATCGATACCCTCCAGGATGACAGGGGCTTGGCCACATGTCTGAGCACTGCCAACATGCTTCCGGAGTGGGCCGAGGCCGTGATCAAGGCCCATAAGCGGGAAACTTTGGAGGACTTCATCTTCTCCGTGGACGAGAAGGATGTCACGAAGGCTATCCAAACCTTGCTGGACCCGACCACCTTGAAGGACAACCGGTTGGCTCAGGCTCGCCTGCGTGCGGCCTATTCAGCAGGGGCGGAGGCTATCAAGCAGGCCGCCCAAGCGGCAAAATCGGCCGAAGGGGTGGATGATCCATTGCCTGAATCCACCATGGATCAACTCAACCGGGACTTCCGGACCCGGTACGGCCTCATCATTGAAGCCACTCTTGAACCCAGTGATGCTCTGCGAGCCCGGGTTTATAGAGAATTCCGAAAGAGGACAATGTCAGTCGTACCTGCTTCCCGCATCAAGTCAGTCCTTCATCAAGCAACGCCCAGGCAGCAAGATGCGGTGAAATTGGGAGAAGGTATCCAACTTGAATTTCATACAGAGGAGTCTCGCACCATCCGCAATGTTGTGGACTACTACTGGTCACTCCGTACTCTGGCCTATGCTTGGGCGTGGGCTGGGTTGCACCAGCAACGTGGTCATGATGGCAAGGAGACCGTCTTCATCTCCCTCACGGCGGCCCTGAACTATGCTGACCACGCCCTCCATAGTGCTATGGAATTTGGCCAGGGTTCCCGCCTGTGGCTGGAGCGTAATGACCTCCTGACCCGCACCAAGATGGCCAGCTACATTCGTCAGGGCTACAATGCATGGGAGGCCTTGCAGGAGGCTCTCCGGGAGACACACCTTGAATGGCGGGCCAGTGCTATCCAGGCTGTCCCCAACGAGCCAGCTGTTCCTCCCAAGCGGGCAGCACCGGGTGCTAGTGAGGTTGTGCCTCCTGCACCCAAGCGGCGCCAGATCAAGACGGACGCCCACCAAACGATCTCCATGCTGAAGGGAGGCATCAAACTTTGCAAGCCATGGAATGATGGGAGGGGCTGCACCAACCAGAAGTGCCCGCAGGTACACAAATGTGATGTCAAACTCCCGTCAGGTAAGCCATGTCAGGGGCCACACCCCCGGCTGGATCACCCCACTGAATAGGGACAACTCTCCCCAGTGTGACACCTCAGCTACGCCATTGCAAGCAAGACGACAGGTCACCTTGTGCGATCCCCAGGAGCTCAACCCTACAGCACTGGCTACCCGTCTTGTCGGTGCGAAACCGGTCACATGGCGAGGCCGTGGAGACCTACCGCAATTTCCATGGGGGAATGCTATCAGAGGGACATGGCTGGTGGTTGACCTTTGGGCTGGCATTGGAGGGCTTTGTCTCGCCTTGCTCGCTCTTGGAGTCCACATTTATGCAATCAGTGCTGAGAGTGACCCAGATGCCCGAGCAGCTTCTCAAGCCACGATGCCAAACTTGGTCCACATCGACTCGGTTGAGGCCATTCAGGGAGTGGACCTACGGCCGTTCTTGCAGAGGCGTCAGGTACGAGGCATCATCCTGGGCGGCGGTTCTCCATGCCAGGGCAACTCAAGCCTGAATCGGGGCAGGAAGGGCCTCCGTGACCCTCGATCCCAACAGCCGAGTCACCTTCAGCGCATTCGAGACGAAATCATGGCCCTACCTGAGGCCGGTCATTGTGAGATCATCACGTTTTTGGAAAACGTGGCCAGTATGCCTCAAACGGTATGTGACCAATACTCAGCATGGCTTGGCACCCAGCCAGTGCTGATTGATGCGGCCGGGTGTGGCTGGGTCCACCGCCGCCGTCTCTATTGGCTGGCCTCTCGAACCGGGGGGCTGTCACCTACCTGTGTGCCACCGTCAGACTGGGTTTGGCGTGAGGGCCCCGGGGAACACCGTCCGGTGTTGCAGTACACGGGCAAGTAACCCATCCCAGCCCAAGTCTGGTGGGATGATCAGTTCCGCCCCCTCGTGGATCCCAAGAAGGTGGTGAAGGAGCAAGGGTCGGGAGCTATGCATCCATTCACACGGGAGTTCTTCCACCCTGCTGACCGGGTTGCCCAGGCAACACCTGCAGCTGCGGCGCGCTTTCATCAGGACTACCGTCGTTTCCCCCCGGCAGCCTATGAAGAGAATTCTCTGTTGTGGTCTGGCGACCACTGGAGGCAGCCCTCACCAGATGAGAGATCCCAACTGCTGGGTGTGCCTGTGGCTGCCACCCAGGCCGTGAAAGGCTCCCAAGATCAGCGCACTAAGATCCGCAACTCCTTACTGGGCAATGGTTTCCACCTCCCGAGTGTCATGGCGCTGTTGTGTTGCTTGCCATCCATCATGGGGTCCAAGCTGACCAGACAGCCACTTGACCTGGACGAACTCGCCCTGGGGGCGCGGTTGAACAATACAATCTGGATGCCAGGACGGTTGGCCGCTATGCCGGGATTGCTGACCTCTCGCACAATCTGTGAAGAACTGCAGGCTGCGTTCCCTTTTGCGCAAGCGTCAAACACCGTTTGGGCCGAGGTCTCTCAGAGGCTGGCAGCCTGTGAGCTGTCCGCGCTGCAGGCCTACCCAATGTGGCGCCGCTTGCGACAGGAACCTTGGTCTTTGCTCGGACCTACGCCAGTGTGGGGCCGGGAACGGACAGCTATTTATGCTGGTCTCACCGGCCAACGGTATGCTAGCAACTCGGCAAAAGGCTTGGACCACCTCCTTCAGCCAGGACTGGGCAAAGAGGCACACATTGCAGCTGCATTGAAGCTACCATCACCCTTTGACCCCCGCCCATGGCCTGAACCAGATGTTGAATTTGTTGTCCAGGCTGTGGCTACCTGGCAACAGGTTCTCCCGCGGTGGGCCGAGAAGCTACGCTACGTCCTCCTGACAGTGGCGCGCGCGGTGCAACCCTTGGAGGACACGCTGAAGCCTTTTCGATGCCAGAGCGCTCGAAAGGTGGCGGCGGGCAAGAAACCAGCCTTTCTGGCCACGATGGTTGCGCTGTTACGATGGCCAGACAAGATGTTAGCCAGAGCTTTGGTTTTGGGTTTCGAGATTGTGGGTGACTTGGCGCATTCCGGGGTTTTCCGCCCTATCATCCAAGAAGGGAAGTTGGCTTTGGACCAATGGCTTGGACCAGCGGCCGAGGCTGACCTTGCTCGCCTCTTGAGCTCACGCCCTCCACAGCATGTCCAAGACATCCTGGAGTTGACACAGGACGAGATAGAAAAAGAATTTTGCTCGCCTTTGCGCACAGCACTTGAAATGGATGATTTGTTTGGGGTTGGGGGGTGGCGTTTCGTGGAACGTTTCCTCATCATTTAACCCGATGGGAAGAAACGGGCCATTGATAACGCCAGGAAAAGTGGTCATAATGCCCATACTACGATGCACGAAACAATATCAACTGTCAATGTTGATTTCTGTGCGTCCGTAGCACGTATGTTGCATACAGAGATGCCCTTTTCTCTTGGGGAACCCCCAGAATGGCTGGACCTCCGTCTGGGTACGGATGACCTACCGGATGCCTATCGGGGTTTGCCTGTCGCCGATTCCCACCTACCCTTTTCAAATGTGGCTATTTTCGTGCCGGGGGTGGGCTGGAGATTCACATGTATGTGCGGTCTGGCGTATGGCTTGGAAAGTGCTGTGGTGAACTTCAACCGTTTCCCACAACTTGGTATCGCCATCACTAGGCGCTGCCTATTAGGGTGTGCAGCTGCGTACTTTGATGACGAACTGGCAGTGGAGTGCATTCGTGATTGCGATGTCTCCCAAAGAAACCTACAACTTGTGTTCAAGTTGTTAGGTGCCCCACCGCAGAGTTCCAAGAGCTTCGCACCTGCACCCAATAGGCATTACCTGGGCACATCTGTCCACGTAGGAGACTTTGGCTGGTTGGGGGTCATCCGTTTCCAACCAAAGACTTCCACAACCATGAAAGTCCAAGCCAAGCTCCACGAGGCGATTGTGACCAAGCAACTCCGCCCAGATGATGCGGGGAAACTTCGTGGTGACCTCAACTGGCTTTTCAGCATGTGCGCAGGACATGCAGGCCGCTTTGCTGGCCCTGTGCTGGCCGCATAGCAACATGCCTCATCCCCTGTCCTACTGGAATCTGAGGCCACCACCCTCCACCTTCTCAGCATCATGCTTCGCACAGCCAGGCCCCGGGATGTTGAGGTGTGCTCCGCTACCAAATCCCCCCTGGTGATTTACTCGGATGCATCCTTCGAAAACGGTGCATTACGAGTGGGATGGGTACTTATGACCTCACCTCCATTAGGAGTGTCGTGTCTCGTCCCATCGGAAGTGACAGATACCTGGATAACACGTCATCAGCAGATCTACCCTGGAGAGACGCTTTGTGGACTCCTCGTGCCGTGGGTCCATGGTGATCTCCTGGAGGGTCGAGATCTCCTCTGGTTCGTTGATAATGAGGCTGCTGTTTCCTCATTAATTAAAGGTTCCAGCGGACAAGAAGACGTTCACACCATTGTCCAGCTGTCACATCTGATTTTCCAGAAACGCCAGATTCGACCGTGGTTTGAATGGATCGACTCTGCCAGTAACCCGTCAGACGGGTTGTCCAGGTTGGGTATTGAGGATTCCTGGACCCAAACCCAACCCTGGCATTTGCGCGAGTTGTCCTTCCCAGTCGAACTCCTTTTTGTGGCTAAGCCTACGGACCTACAACCTTTCCTCTCCTTAGTGAACAGTGGGTGATTGTTTTTTAACAGTGGGTGATCAGGTATGTTCATCAAAGATGACATAAAAAGCTAGTCTGT